TAAGTTTATTTAAGGATTTCTAAAACAAACTTTCACAAAACACTCTCAGGTCTTGTTATCGCATTATTAGATTTGAGTAAGTCTTTCAGTATGTTAATGAATTACAGACCAGTAAATGAAGTTTTAGAGCATTGTGGCCTAGATTTTAGTTCAAGTATGTACATGTCAGATTCTTCTCCTGTCATAGACACCAGAGACTTTGCAGAATTTGCAGTGACCTGGAGTATTTAAGTTAATGCTTTCTTCCTGTTGTGATTCTCACCTAGAGTTATAGGAATTATATGATTTTTAGCACTTTAGCAAAAAACCCTTATATACATCTCATCTGAATGAATGTCTCTTTAGGAAAATGGACTCTTTTTTTCGGGGAAAAATAAAAAGCTGCTACAGAAAGTTGGGGCTTACTGTTCTTTGCATTGACCTTTATTTACTCCCAAAAGCTGCAATTCAGGAAACCATTCAGGTTTTTATATTTTAGGAGAAATTTAAGTAAGTAAATAAAACTTTTTACCTACCAAAAAAAAAAAAAAAGAATCAGGGAACAAGAGAACTTAATCTAACCAACAGAAAGAATATACACTGGAAAAAATGAGTCTCAAGGATCTGTGGGAAAATAAAATATCTAACATTCAAGCAACTGAAGTCTCAAAAGAAGAAGAGAAAAAAAGGTGAAGCTGAAAACCAGCTGAAGAAATAATGGTTGAAAATTTCACAAACTTGGCAGAAGATATAAACTTAGATTATACAATCTAACTTAGAATCAAATTTCAAACAGGATAAATCCAAAGAAATCCGTGCCCAGGTGTGCAGTTGTAAAGTTTTCTTTGGAAAACCAAAGATGAAGAAAAATCTTAAAGGCAACTGGAAAAGAAATGACTAATTACCTACAGGAGAGCAACCATTTGAATGAGAACAGATTTCTCTCATTAGAAACCATGGAGGCAAGAAGGAACTAGCACATTTTTCAAGTGCTGAAAAAAGTTTTGTCAAACCAGAATTCTATATCATGTGAAAATATCCTTCGGACAAAACCAAGACATTCTCGAATGAATGAAAACTAGAATTTATCACTAGCAGATTTCCCCTAAAAGAATAGCTAAATGGAGTTCTTCATAGAGAAAGGAAACAAAAGGAATAAGTTGGAATATCAGGAATAAAGAAAGAACAAGAGAATAAAAATATGGGTAAATAAAATAGACTACTCCTTTCCTCTTGAATTTTATAATAATATTTTATGGTTGAAGCAAATATTCTAATGTTGTCTAATGTAGTTCTCAATGTATGTCGAGAAAATATTTAAATAATTATATGATAAAAGTGGGGGGTGGATAAACAAACCTAAATGGTGGTAGACTTCCTTTACTTCACTCAAAATAGTATATATAAAATGTAGAGAACAGGAGACTGATAAGTCATTTTGGAAGATGGTCCTCTCTTTAAAAGGTTGCTTCTCAAGAGCAACCACTAAAAATCTACACAAAGATATATGTGTCTCTAAATCTTAAAGCCACCACAGAAAAAATCAATATGGGGGAAATTCCCTGGTGGTCCAGTGGTTGGGACTCTTTGCTTTCACTGCTGAGAGCTCAGGTTCAATCCCTGGTTGGGGAACTAAGATCCTGTAAGCTGCATGCCACAGTCAAAAAAAGAAAAAAAATCAACATGGAATTTTAAAAAATATTCAAGTAATCCACAAGACAGAAAATAAAAGAGGAAAAAAAAACCCAGAGAAAATAAATAGAAGAACAGTAAAATGGCAGACTTAAACCAAATCATAACAAAAATTACATCAAATATAAGTGTTTTAAATATGCCAATAAAGAGAGAGAGATTTAAAGAGTAGAGTAAAAATGACTCAACTATATAAGAAACTCATTTCAGATAAAAATCATATGTGCAAATTAAAAGTAAAAGGATGGAAAAATATACCATATACCATGTAAATATGAATCAAAAGAAAGCCAGAAACAGTATTAGATAGTACAGACTTCAGGAAAAATAAAATTACCAAGACAAAGAGTGACATTACATGATGATAAATTCACCAAAAAGGTACAGTAATCCTAAATATGTATGCAGTTAACAATAGAACTTAAAAATACACAAAGCAAATCTGAAAGAAATGAAGAGAGAAAGAGGCAAACCCACAATTACAGCTGGAGACTGCTACAGCCCTCTCTAAACAACTGATAATACTACTAGGCAGAAAATCAGCCAGGATACAGAAGAGTACCATCAATCAATAGGACCCAACAGCAGCATAATACATATTGTTCTCAAGTGTCCCTGAAATATTCACCAAGATAAACCATATCTTGTGCCAGAAAACAAACCTTGACACCTGTAAAAGAACTAAAACCATACAGATTATGTTCTGTGACAAAAGTGAACTCAAACTAGAAATCAGTAACAGAAAGATAGTAAGAAAAGTCTCCAAATGCTCGAAAACTAAACACTTTTCTAAATAATACACATAACAAAGAGGAAGTTTCAAGGAAAATAAAAATACTGAAATGGATGAAAATGAAAATAAACATACCAAAATTAATGGGGTGAAGCTAAGCAGTATTTAAAGGGAAATTTACAGCACTAAAATTCTTATATTAGAAAAAAGGAAACCTTTCAAAGCCTAAGCATTAACCTCAAGAGTCTAGAAAAAAGTACAAGATAAAACTAAAGCAAAAAGGAATAAAATAAAAAATAAGAGCAGAAATCAACAGAAATTGAAAGAGAAAAATAAGAGATAATTTCACTGATTACAGACTAACTTTAGCAACACGATATATTATGTAGTATTAGATTATAACCCAAAGTATAAAATAAATACACATGAGTTCATACAGATATAAATTAGTTATTAAAAAAAAATTTTAAATGATGGAAGCATCTAAGAATATTTTTATAATTGCTTACTTTTGGGAAATAGTCAGATGATCTAATATAAAGCTCTAGTACATAAAATTTCAATAAATGGAACCTATGAGAGGTAGATGTGATAGTATCCATGTTATAACAACAAAACAAATTACCTCAGAGAGATGAAATAAACCAGCAAAACATGGAATCAATCTCTTCTAATGCCAAGGCTGGTTTTGCTATACAATATCAGGTTCTTTCTTTTGTAACAGAATGGGGCATATAAATGAAAAAAATCTGCTTCCAGTAGCCCAGGTCTTCTATTTTTTGCAAAAGAATGATATTCTAACTTGGAGGCAGCAGGCCTTGCGACCCAAAGCTCTTGAGTCACTTTATGTTCTAGGACTGGTTGTCCTAAATGGGAAAGTAGCAAGGTTTCTTTCTCATCAATTCTGCAGTCAAAGCCTCCTCTGGATAGATGGGAAATTTGTTTTGCTCCTGTTTATGTGTATTTTATTTCCTAAGTTTTTCTGTATGACACAGACGCATACAAATAAACACTGATAGTCTACTGTGCCCAGAAAGATCCCTGGCAAAAGACAGAAAAGTGACCTCTGAGAAAGGGAGATATGCTCTGACACCCGAAAGCAATGCCTCCCCCCATCACACTTGCATGAGGTCAAATGGAACCTGGCCTTGTTTCTAGTCAATAGAAAATGGCAAACATGATGGGACATCATTCTCATGATTATGTTATATAAGCCTCAGTCAGACTGGAGTAAAAGACTCTCCCCTTACTGGATTTCAAAGTAGGCTACTGTGTTTTGAAAGGACCCATGGAGAAGGCCACATGGCAAAGAACTACAAGCAACCTAGGAATGGAGGATGGTCCTCTACCAAAAGCCAACAACAACAACAAACAGGAACCTCTCAGTACTCCACCCAGAAGATGAATTCTGCCAGCAACTTGAATGAACTTGGAAACAAATTCTTCCCTAGTCAAACTTCCAGATGAGAACATAGCCCAGGCAGCACACTGACTGCAGCCTTGAAAGACCTTGAACAGAGAGAATCTAGTCACGCTGTAACCAGACTCCTGACCCACAGAAACTGATAATAAATGTGCTGCTTTAAGCCACTAACTTTGTGATAACATATAATGCTGCAATAGTTAACTAATACATTCTCTTTTCCTTTGCAGTCAAGGAAGACTACTTCACCACTAGAAGTGAAGATAGGCAAGATCAGTTTCTTATCATTTAATTATCACAGAGGAAAGTCTGTAAGATCCACTAAACTGTTTTCAAATCCAAGTGCAACTCTGGCACTTTGCTACCCCTGAGGCAGAAGATGACCAGCCTCACAAGGACTGGGCCATTTTTCCTGGCTTGGTGGTAGTGCCCTGATGGCTGTGAACATTTACCATAGCCCCAAAGACCTCCAACCCAGTCTTTTCCTTCTCTATCAATGACTTCTTCATCTACCCTTTCTGCATTGCCTCCCACTTACCAACTTAGCTCTTTCCCACAATAGGCCAGATCATTGGCTCTTTTGGTCCATCCCAATTCTCTGGCTTACTCTGACTTCTTGGCTAGGGAAGGATTTATATTCTAAAGCCAGGCACTTAGGTGTTATTACCAAAATGAAAGCAGAGTGTAGACCACTGTTTTCCCAAAGGAAAAATAAAATGGAATCTTTCTTGAAAAAAAAAGTAGATAGACTTGTTTTCATCAGAAATACAAGCCTATCCACTGGAACATAGTTTACTCCTCACATCTCTAAGATCTGGGTATTGTAGATATGTAGGAAGAATGTAGCTAGCCCAGGCTGGATGCATGAGACAAGTGCTCAGGGCTGGTGCACTGGGAAGACCCAGAGGAATCGGGTGGAGAGGGAGGTGGGAGGGGGGATCGGGATGGGGAATACTTGTAAATCCATGGCTGATTCATGTCAATGTATGACAAAAACCACTACAATATTGTAAAGTAATTAGCCTCCAACTAATAAAAATAAATGAAAAAAAAACATAAAAATGAAAACAAAAGGAAAAAAGAGAAAGAGAATGTTATTGAACATATTGAACAATGTTATTTATATAAAAATTTATGCAGTAAATGTGAAAAAAAATTAATATCTGATCTCACCTCGGCAGGCTTCTTGCGTTCATTTGGCATTTTTGACTTGCTCCTATACAATGAGCCGAAAGTAGAGGAAGTGGAAGGATCTGTAAAAGATAATTAGAAAAAATACTGAGACTTATTACCTGCTATTATAACTAAATGTCATCCAAGAGTATGTGAAATATATGATGGAGAAGAGCACAGTGACCTCATATCACTGAAGAAAATAGTTAAATTGCAACCACCAAAGCCTCATAAAGGAGTTTAATGACATTTATAGGTAACATCCCAGGGTGTGAAAGCTTCAACAATGCTAATACAGAGGAGATTCAATTTGGTATAATCATATTTCATTATAATTTAGAACAAGACAATTTATGTTCCATCTAGAGAAAAAGTATCTGCAAAAGCAACTGAAAAAACTAAAAATGTGGAGCAAGTAATCTGCCTATCCTTCAGCGTTTTCCAAATGCTACTGTTAATAAAGTTGTTGTCTTTTATGAATTATGACTCATCCAAACACTTAGTACCTCAGCTAAAATAAAACTGTAGGGCCTACAATTTATGCTCTCACACTTTTCTTTCTAGAAAAGCACTGTTCCATTGGTAGATGTGGCTTTTGTTGCCCGGGTAAATAAAAAGTGCAAAACAAAATGCTATATGCCACACAAAACTAATTCTCTCATCTAACTTACCTATGTCTAATGGAATTTAAACAAGTAAGAAAAATGGTACCCCAAGTTTTCCTTCTTAGAAACATTATTTTTTAACCCATTGAAAGAAGCATGAAATAGCTTGTTCTCAAGTCAAAGAAACTCTCAAGGATTATAGATACAGAGTTACCAGCTGTTGGCTGGTTCTACTCACTGTCCTCTGAACTGTCACTGCTGCTGATATTTCTATGGCGTTTCATCCTGGAGCATCCTGGGAAAGAGAAGGCAACATTGAATAAATACTCAACACACACATCCATCCCATAGGGCAGTCAACACTGCTCAAGAAGCAGCAGCAGGTGAATTACACAAATCAAATTATTTTTGTTAATAATATTCTCAAATTATCTAGAGTGGTGGGAGAAGAATTCTACCAAATTCTCCCTAATACAGAGTGTGTCAAAGACTGGGCGAGGCCACATACTAGCTTTAGGAGGAAATCTAAGCTGCAGAGGATGAATGATATAGGACTGGCAAGAGCCTCAAATGTGGCCACATGACCACTATCCATCCAAACAAAGAGGGGCAGTCACAGGGTCATTATCAGTCAGGGATCCCCAATAAGAGATGAGCAAGAAAGAAAAAGCAGTTACAAAGGTAGAGCTGTCGAAGGCCAAGGCTGAAAGGCATGAGACAAGGCTGGCTGAAGAAAGAAGTGAGGCACGTCCCATCTTTGAAAGCACAGTTCAGTTCAGTTGCTCAGTCATGTCCGACTCTTTGTGACCCCAAGGACTGCAGCATGCCAGGCCTCCCTGTCCATCACCAACTCCCATAGTTTATGCAAACTCACGTCCATTGAGTCGGTGACGCCATCCAACCATCTCATACTCTGCTGTCCCCTTCTCCTCCCACCTTCAATCTTTCCCAGCATTTGGGCCTTTTCAAATGAGTTAGTTCTTTGCATCAGGTGGCCAAAGTACTGGAGCTACAGCTTCAGCATCAGTCCTTCCAATGAGTATTTAGGACTGATTTCCTTTATGATGGACTGGCTGGATCTCCTTGCAGTCCAAGGGACTCTCAAGAGTCTTCTCCAACACTTCAGTTCAAAAGCATCAATTCTTCTCTGCTCAGCTTTCTTCATAGTCCATCAGGAGGCAGGTCAGGTGGTCTGGTATTCCCATCTCTTTAAGAATTTTCCAGAGTTTTTTGTGATCCACACAGTCAAAGGCTTTGGCATAATCAATAAAGCAGAAGTAGATGTCTTTCTGGAACGCTCTTGCTTTTTTGATGATCCAACGGATGTTGGCAACTTGACCTCTGGTTCCTCTGCCTTTTCTAAATCCAGCTTGAACATCTGGAAGTTTTCGATTCACGTACTGTTGAAGCCTGGCTTGGAGAATTTTGAGCATCACTTTGCTAGCATGCAAGATGAGTGCAACTGTGCAGTGGTTTGAGCATTCTTTGGCATTGCCTTTCTTTGGGATTGGAATGAAAACTGACCTTTTCCTGTCCTGTGGCCACTGCTGAGTTTTCCAAATTTGCTGGCTTATTGAGTGCAGCACTTTCCCCTTGTAGCTCAGTAGGTAAAGAATCTGCCTGCATTGCAGGAGACCCAGGTTCAATCCCTGGGTTGGGAAGATCCCCTGGAGAAGGAAATGGTGACTCTCCAGTACCCTTGCCTGGAAGATCTCATGGACAGAGGAGCCTGGTGGGCTGCAGATGGGGTTGCAAAGAGTCGGGCATGACTGAGCAACTAACACTTACTTCCACAGCATCATCTTTTAGGATTTGAAATAGCTCAACTGGAATTCCATCACCTTCACTAGCTTTGTTCGTAGTGATGCATCCTAAGGCCCATTTTACTTCACATTCCAGAATGTCTGGTTCTAGGTGAGTGATCACACCATCCTGATTATCTGGATCATGAAGATCTTTTTTCTATAGTTCTGTGTATTCTTGCCACCTCTTCTTAATATCTTCTGCTTCTGTTAGGTTCATATCATTTCTGTCCTTTATTGTGCCCATCTTTGCATGAAACATTCCCTTGGCATCTCTAATTTTCTTGAAGAGATCACTAGTCTTTCCCATTCTATTGTTTTCCTCTATTTCTTTGCATTGATCACTGAGGAAGGCTTTCTTATCTCTCCTTGCTATTCTTTCGATCTCTGCATTCAAATGGGTATATATTTCCTTTTCTCCTTTGCCTTTTGCTTCTTTTCTCAGCTATTTGTAAAGTCTCCTCAGACAACCATTTTGCCTTTTTAAAATAACAGGGAAGCAACATAGCCCTGCCCATTAACAGAAAATTGGATTAAAGATTTACTGAGCCTGGCACCACCCATCAGAACAAGACCCAGTTTCCCCCTCAGTCAGTCTCTCCCATCAGGAAGCTTCCATAAGCCTCTTATCCTTCTCCATCAGAGGGTACAGACTGAAAGCCACAATCACAGAAAACTAACCAATCTGATTACATGGACCACAGCCTTGTCTAACTCAATGAAACTATGAGCCATGCCATGTAGGGCCACCCAAGACAGACGGGTCATGGTAGAGTTCTGACAAAACGTGGTCCACTGGAGAAGGGAATGGCAAACCACTTCAGTATTATTGCCTTGAGAACCCCATGAACAGTATGAAAAGGCAAAAAGATAGGACACTGAAAGATGAACTCCCCAGGTTGGTAGGTGCCCAACATGCTACTGGAGATCAGTGGNAGACCTACAAGACCTTCTAGAACTAACACCCAGAAAAGATGTCCTTTTCATTATAGGGGACTGGAATGCAAAAGTAGGAAGCCAAGAAATACCTGGAGTAACAGGCAAGTTTGGCCTTGGAGTACAGAATGAAGCAGGGCAAAGGCTAATAGAGTTTTGCCAAGAGAACACACTGGTCATAGCAAACACCCTCTTCCAACAACCCAAGAGACAACTTTACATATGGACATCACCAGATGGTCAATACAGAAATCAGATTGATTATATTCTTTGCAGCCAAAGATGGAGAAGCTCTATACAGTCAGCAAAAACAAGACCAGGAGCTGACTGTGGTTCAGATCATGAACTCCTTATTGCCAAATTCAGACTTAAGTTGAAGAAAATAGGGAAAACCACTAGACCATTCAGGTATGACCTAAAACAAATCCCTTATGATTATACAGTGGAAGTGACAAATAGATTCAAGGGATTAGATCTGATAAGAGTGCCTGAAGAACTATGGATGGAGGTTCGTGACATTGTACAGGAGGCAGTGATCAAGACCATCCCCAAGAAAAAGAAGTGCAAAAAGGAAAAATGGTTGAAAGCACAACCCACTGCTTTTCTGCCTGCCCTTTTCCCCACTTTTGCACTTTCTCCCTGACAAACTTTCTCCCAACTGACAAACAACTAGCCTAACTTAAAGTCACATCTATCGAAAGGAATGCTAAAAAAAAAAAAAAAAAAAGGAAAGTGTTAATTGCTCAGTCGTGTTCAACTCTTTGTAACCCCATGGACTGTAGCTCGTCAGGCTCCTCTGTCCATGGGATTCTCCAGGCAAGAATACTGGATTGGGTTGCCATCCTTTTCCAGAGGATCTTCCCAACCCTGGGATCAAACCCAGGTATCCTGCATTGCAGGCAGATTCTTTACTTTCTGAGCCACTGGGGAAGCCCAGACAAATGAAACCCAGCATTTCAGTGCCGAGGAATGTTACAGAAAGCTCCTATATTGGGAAAACTAATGTCTTTAAATAAAATTTCCAGTGGTTTAAGCATCCTTGTGTGTGTGTGTGTGTGTGAGTGAGAGTGAGAGAGAGAGAGTGAGAGACTACACACACTTTCAGGCAAATGGGGAGAGTAAATAGACTTCTGTAAAATAATGCAGCCAGTCACTAAAAGAGTAAATAGGCAAATAATAAAGAGCCCTGGGGGCGGGTGGCAGGGTGCTGGTACTGAAATGTTATATTATCTAAAACATCCAGTTTTCAGCAAAAAATTATGAGACATGCATGGGGACTGAATTCACACCCTAGTAGTGAAAGTGCCAAGTCCTAACCCCTGGACCACCAGGGAATTCCCAAATATGGTACTTTCTAAATTAATACAGTAACAATCCTTTTTTGTTATAGATGGAAACCAAAAAATCTTGTATTATCAATAGAGAGCCTAGGAAACAGATTAACACCAATAACACCAGTCCTGGAAACTGGGCTTCTTATAACTTAAAGAAAACAAAGCAAGCAAATTTGGGGGTCTGGGCTGTTAAAGTCCACTGGTCTATTTCAGTGATCACTGCTGTTTTAATTACTATAGAAAAATGACAAAGAGCAGTAAATATCAGCAGAATAATTCCATGACAATAAACCTTTAGATCTGTCTTTATTAATTTTAGTCGTTTATAGAACAACAGCAGTTCTATAAATATCATTACCACCATTTTACAGATGAGGAAATTGGGGCTCAAAGTCAAAGTGTTAGTCACTCAGTCATGTCTGATTCTTTGCAACCCCATGGATGGAGGCCTACCAGGTTCCTCTGTCCATGGAATTTCCCAGGTAAGAATACTGGAGGGGGTTGCCATTCCCTTCTCCAGGAGATCTTCCTGATCCAGGGATTGAACCTGCTCTCCAGCATTGAAGGCAGATTCTTTACTGCCTGAGCCACCAGAAATGTTTCAATAACATGTTTGGAGCTACATGGCCACCAGAGGGCAGAGCACAGCAGGCAGGTATATGGAGAATGGACACTCCAAGTTGACCCTGAGACCTGAGGCAGGCTAGGGAGTTAACAGCAGGAATGCTGCCCCTTCTAAGCCCAAGCTTCCTGAGCATGGCCTTCAAGGTTCACAGCATTCCAGCTTCAATTTGTCAGATCTCATCAGCTGCTGCTCCTCTACCTCCTGCACATGCTATGGCCCATGTGATTCCATGAATGTATCATCTTGTTTCATACTTGCCAGCCTTTGGACAGGGCTCTTCCCTCTGCCTACAGTACCCTGCCTATTTACCTGGACCATCCCATTTTCTCTCAACCTGGCCTGACTCATTTGTTGGATCTCCTCAGTGAGGTTCTCTCTATACTCTATTATACATGTAAAATGTTCTTCATTTGCACTGTAAATATTCTTTACATGGTCAGCCCTGCCAAAAGACCACAACCATCTTCAAAGCAGTAACTAGTAAAATTCATCTTTTACCCCCAGGTCTCAGCACAGTGTCCTGCACAATGTAAACATGAGAAAGAGTAAAAGATGCCCCNATTCATCTTTTACCCCCAGGTCTCAGCACAGTGTCCTG